TAAAATCCCACTCATAAGCCCAACTAAAACCACATAAATGCATGAACACATAGAACCAGAATGGCCTCCACTGGGAACCCCCAACAGCAACCTTCGCTGAAGGGACCTACAACTCCAACGTGGGTCTCCAAACTCCATCCAGTGGTTGCCTCTGCAGTTCAATCGAGGGAACCCTCTGCATGCTGATCAATCAACACCTCCAATCGTTGTGGATTTATCGTTGTGGATTATATGACTTTTTCCAATGGATTACAGACTTTGTTTCCAAGGGGTTAAAGTGTTGCTGCAATGGAATTACCAACAACATTATGGAAGTACCGAAACCATTGTGGGATTACCTTCTTTGACTTTTGTTTTCCTCTTGCTGGATTACATCAAGATCAAGGACATTCGGAGGTGTAAATTCATGTTGGAATTCATCCCCATGGACAGGCGATGATTTCCAAAGGGGGGACTGTAGTGAACTAGGCCTCCGACATCAAACTGTCTCTGAAGACCTTCAGGGGACAGGAACTGTTATTTCATGGATTTGAATCCAGAAATACAAATTATCTCATCAAGAGACTATTTAATTGTATCCTAAATTAATCAATTGAAAGAACACTCTTCTTTTTACATTATCAGTACTATTTTAAGATATCTTGATAATCCAAAGTGTGTTTAGTTCATACCATTTCTAAATGTTGAAGTGAACCACTCATTTAAATCAACTGTGAAACAGTATTAATGATTTTTAAACCTCATCAGTTTTTTGATCATACAGTTAAATGCCTATTTACAAAGTAAGTGTGCATTTAGTCTTCTGTCTGAATGAGGGTAGTGGACTACATGTCGGTCGAAAGTCAGAGACGAGTTATTAGAACGAAGTGTCTTGTTTTTAAAACTCGCAGACAGTAAATAAGAGCAACTGGCACCTGCTTTGTCTCACCTCGTCATAATATTTTCCCGTCTGTACTAACCGTTTTTTTAAACATTCCTGCTGTCTCATGACTTCTAGTGACCCTCTAACATCACTAGAACCACACCCCTGCTGGTTGTTTCAACCAATCAGGAAGTACCACATAATAGGAAGTGGATGCCCCTTTAAAAAGGCAACACTTCTTGGAACTAGCCAGTCCTGGAACTCAGTCGGAGTCTTAAGTCTTAGTCTTCACGAGTCTTAGTCTCAGTCTAGACTTATGGCCAGACAACTGGAAGACAGTTTTTTAACCATACCAGTATGAATGACCACAATGGCTAAAATCAAACCTGTACATTTTTGTCATTTGTTTAGTTTGATGCCATATTTTCAAATGAACATCACTGTGCAGAAGATGTGAGGAAAAAGAGGGCTATACTTTCTCACTTTACTCCACTTAAAATGTGGAGTTTGGATGAGATCTTGTTGAATTTGACCAGATAATTTTTTATCAAAGCAAGCAAGAAAATCACAAGATTCCTGTCCGCTTACTGAATTGGGCCTGAAGGTGCAGCTGACTTTTGCTGTCTTTCCAGGACTTTGGAGGCTGAGTGGGCCAGCAAACGCTCCATGCAGGACAGTTTACAGCTTGTGGATCCTTGTAGGATTTAAAAAAAATAAGTTTGACTGCAACCCAGTAAGATACGGGTTTTAACCACATGCATCTTCATCAGGGGTGGGCAACCTTTCTTTCCAGAGAGCCAAATCAAGATATTTAATGAATCAAACAAATTTTTCTTTAAAACTTAATCTTGAAGACTTATGGTATTCTAAACCCTTTTCTTGTAGCAGTTAGCATGCTTGACAAAATGTCTCCCCAATACTCTATATACTTTCTGTAAACGGGCTTTCGTGGCATTACATGGTTTTAAATATGAATAAATTAAGTTTTAGCCTATTTTAATTCAAAGATTTTTTATGTATCCATCATCTTTACCCACTTCTTCCTTTTCGGGTCACAGGGGTCACTGTGCAAGAGGCGGGGGACACCTGGACAGGTCTCCAGTCCATCACAGGGACAGATACCGAGACAAAAAAACCATTCACTCTCTCACCTATGAATTTAATTTTAAACTTCATTTAGTTTCATTGATAAAATGCAGGTTTCTGACAAATTACTTATTACCTGATGTGTCTTTCTTTTGAAGTAAGGCTATTAGGAGCCGTATGGAAATTGTCTAAGGACCACTTTTGGCCTTCAAGCCACATGGGGGTGGCTGTGGCTGAGTGGTTAAAGCAGACGTCCTCCAATGCGAGAGATGGGGGCTTGAATCCACCAGCAGTCACATGCTGAAGTGTCCCTGGGCAAGACACTGAACCCCTCATAGCCTCTGATGTGTGTCCCATCAATGTATGAATGGGATAAAGCTCTGATTAGTCTCTTTAGAATGATTTGTTCAATTAGCTTTGTAGAGATCTAGTATAGAGCTGTATGAAAGGGTAAATGAGGACACAGTTCTATTTCGTATAGGCTTCGCCCTTTAAGAGCTGTCGCTTAGTGAGTTTTATCCCATCATGCAGAGCATCGCACTGAAAAGTTTAGTCCACGCCCACATGCTGTGTGGGCCCCACCCGGTCCATATAAATTACGTTAAGAGTGGGTAATCGGCTCCCAATTTTCTTCAGCAAGCTAATAGCACTGACCTTCAACAAGATGTCCAGCACCAACACCATCTGCCTGTGTTCGTCCTGCAAGACCGGCTACTTGCTGAGTTTTGACTGGCACGACACCTGCGAAGGATGCCTGGGTCCCCGCCAAGTCGCCTGCGCCTCCTCCTGCCGCCTCTGTGACCTCCTTCCTCCAGAGGAAAGGCAGAGGCGAGCAGCCTTGTTTAAGGCTAACGTCGAGGACTGCCTGTCTGTGGCAGGAGACTGTTCGCTGGACGATGCGATCGACTTCTTCGACGCCGGCTCTCGGCGCGAATCAGATGGTTCCTCTGGGACAGGCGATGTCAGCAGCAGCCCCAACGCTCGCTCCCTCCCGGAAAGCGTAGTGTTGGAACGAAGGGGGCCGAGCGGATGCTCACCCCCTCCGGGCTTTCCCGCCTCAACGGCCACATCGCTTCCTGCCGTCAGTGCTCTCCTCTCGGAGCTGCCCGGCATTATCCAGGAAGCTGCTGACACGAAGGGACTTTCCGTCCCTCTCCTCCCCCCGCCCAGATCGGATGATCTAGCGGGAAGGTTTGGTTGGCTCCACCCCGGCTCGCCGTCCTGATTTCATCTGACCTCGTTTCCCAGCAGTGGCGTCCTACTGGAACGAGGCTGCGGCCGGCCCTGGTAAATTGAGGGCGCCCGTCTCCACTTTCGCTCCCATCACCAGAGTGGAGAGGTTCACATAAATGTGAGACCGCAGAACGAGCCCAGTGAAGAACCTCGCTCTCAACAGGAGCGGCACACGTCTCACCGCAGTGGTGTCAAACGCGCGCTCCCGCGGCGCCAACAGTTTTCACAAGCCTCTCCTGAATACACGTAGGTCCACAGACATGAATATGGACCCGCAGTTCGAGTGCGGTACAGAGGCGCGCTCAGAGCCCTTTCGAGGAAGCTTCGCCTTGGGTCACGCGGAACAAACTTCCGCGGCGCATGACGGCGGTCGAGGTGGTAGACTGGCTGACGTCCCTAAGAAACATGACACACCACCTAAACAAGCGCCCACTCCACAAACGTTATGCGGAGTGGTTGCGAACATGATTGCCAGACAGATGGATGGCCAAGTTGATAAGCAGGGGTTACACGCTGCAATTTGCAGCCCGACCCCCTCCGTTCGGAGGAGTTTTAGAGACGGTCCTGTCATCACCAGACCAGGTCTCATCCCTAAATGCAGAAGTCCAGTAACTTCTGGTAAAAGAGGTAATCTCCAGGGTTCCCGATGGAGAGGAAAACACAGGTTTTTACACGTTACTTCCTGGTTCCAAAACAGACCGGAGGAACTAGACCGATTTTGGACCTGTCAGTTTTCAACAAGGTGATCGTGGACAGACCGTTTCACATGTTGACAACCAGACAACTGTTGGACAACATCCAGAAAAACAACTGGTTTATTTCCATCAATCTGAAAGACACCTACTTCCACACACCGATCATCCCAAAACACAGAAAATGTCTGCGCTTCTCCTTCCAAGGGATGCAATATCGGTACAACAGGATGCCGTTCGGTTATTCCCTCGCACCTCGTACGTTCTCAAAGTGTGTGGAGACGGTCCTACAACCGTTACACAGAGCAGGGATGAAATGTGTTTTACCTAGACGATCTGCTGCTGCCGTCACGCTCCAGACGGGAAGCAGCGGCGCAGGCTCAGGTGTTGACATCACACTTGCTAAATCTGGGCTTTGCCATAAATTGGGAAAAAAGCTCGATTCTCCCGGCCCAGACAATTGTTTATCTGGGAGTGGAGCTAAACTCAACCACCATGAGGGCTCGTTTATCACAGACCAGAATCAACACTCCAAGAGTCCAGCTCTGCCACGTAAGACCGGGCAGAGTAGTAACAGCTATTTCCATCATGAAGCTGTTAGGAACGATGTTGTCAGCTCACACAGTGGCCCCGCTGGGTTTACTCCACATGCGACGCCTCCAGAGATGGTTTGTGCGTCTGCGTGTGGATCCGGTGAAGCAAAAGAGACGGATGATCACTGTTCCTCCGTGAGAACAGACCTCCGACACTGGGAAAACCCCCTGGTTCTGTTAGAGAGATTCCCCGTCAGCAGACCTACGTTGCACGTGTCAGTCTTCACAGACGCGTCGTTGTCAGGTTGGGGGGGGACATGCCTATCTCGAGCTGTAGGGGTGCTGTGGCCTCATCACACAACAGCTCATATAAATGTTCTGGAGTGTCGCACGGTTTTGAATGTGATTCAACACTTTGCTCCTGTGCTGCAGAATCAACACGTTTTGATTCACACAGACAACAAGGTGACTGATGCTTACATAAACCGGCAGGGGCGTGTGCGCTCAGCCCAAATGTTACACATTGCGAGAAAACTACTGTGTTGGGCACACCAAATTCTGCTCTCCATCAGAGCAGTTTACATACCCGATGTTCTAAACAAAGGGGCAGATGTGATGTCCATGGGCGGTCCACGTCACGGGAACTGGACCCTCCACCCTGTTCTGATGGCCCAGACGTGGCAAAAATTTGGCAAAGCGGCTGTGGACCTGTTTGCGACATGAGAAAACGCTCAGTGTCAACTATAGTTTTCAGAGCCCGCGAGACGAACCACCGCTGGGGGTGGACGCATTTGCTCACAGCCCATGACCCAAAACGCTTCTTTACGCGTTCCCCCCACCTCCTCTGATATTACGGTTTCTGAACAGAGTTCAGGAGGAGGGATTGACAGCTCTCCTGGTGGTTCCCGAGTGCGTGAACGCACCATGGTTCCCAGTTCTACGACGCCTGTTATCGGGGCGCCCGTGGAAACTGCCGTGGAGGGAGGACGTTCTCCTCCAGGTGGGAGGAGTGATCAGGAGATACCCATAAATAGGCCAGAACCTGTGGGTCTGGCCGCTGAGCAGATCCGCTTAAGAGAGGATGGGTCTCCCGCAAGATGTAGTGCGCACAATCTAGGATTCACGTGCTGCATCCACCACAGCGCTGTACACATCAAAGTGGACAGCTTTTCAGCGCTGGTGTACAGAGAAAGGTATAGAGGCCACCTTATGTCCACTACGCGACGTGGTGTCCTTTCTGCAGCAGCTGATGGACAGAAACCTGGCGTTCAGCATGATTAAAACGTACGTTGCAGCCATCTCTTCCTGTCACAAAAGTTTCGGGGACAGAACAGCTTTTAATCATCTGCTGATGAAGCGTTTTTTTAAAAGGTGTACAGAGACGCAGGCCTGTTTCACGCCCACTTGCTCCACAGTGGAATTTAACGCTGGTCCTGCGAGCCCTGATCAAAGCTCCATTTGAGCCTCTAGATCAGGTTCCAATTAAATTCTTGTCTCTTAAAACAGCCCTCTCTGTTGCTCCGTTATGTTTCAGAATTCAAGCTGATGGCAGCTCAGCTGATCTAAGACCGAATCCAGCATTTATGCCTAAAAACATCACGAGCTCTTTTAAATCAAGAGCGACATCGTTGGAAGGGTTTTTCCCTCCCCCCCACAAATCAGAAGAAGCATCTTTCCATCTTCTCTGTCAGGTGCGGGCGTTGACGTGTTACACAGCTGCAATGCGTCAAACTCAACAGTAGTTTGTGCATTATAGAGATGCATCTGCAGGTCGCCCGTTATCCACCCAGCGCCTGTCACACTGGCTGTGTGAGGCCATTTCTGAAGCCTACAGAGCCATCAGATTTAGAGCCTCCTGTCAACCTCAGGGCGCACTCGACCAGAGGTATCGCATCTTCGACTGCTTTGCATAATGGTATGTCAATGCAGGATATTTGCTCTGCGGCCACGTGATCAACACCCTGCTCATTTATTCACTTTTACCTACATGATGTGACGGCTTCTTCCATGACACATTCTGTACTTAGTGTTTTAACAGAATGAATATTGTTGTTTCACGGAACCCCGTTTAAACTCACATCTGACTGCATGCATTACAGTGTGAGATGTTGTTATCAGTCACAAGTTGTGATTGTTATTTTGGTTCTATTATCACTAATCAGTTCATGACTATTGTTACCAATCAGTTCATTTGATTAATAATCAGTTCTCCTGTTATTATTAATCTGTTCATATTGTTCAGCTGTAACCGGTTGGCTCTAGGCTCTTTTCAGCATATTTTCCCTTCCCGTTTTATTTTATTCTATACGGACCAGGTGGGGCCCACACAGCAGGTGGGTGTGGACTAAACTTTTCAGTGCGATGCTCTGCATGACGGGATAAAACCCACTAAGCGACAGCTCTTAAAGGGCTACGCCTATACTCATAGAATCTGGGGTTACAGTACGTAACCAACGATTGTTGTAAAGAGCTTTGAGTATCTTGAAATAAGATAGAAAGGTGCTATATAAGTACAGTCCATTTGCCATTTACTATTTATGTTGCCCATGTCTGATCTAAATAAATCCACAGGAAACATCTTATGAAGATTTAATGTACATTTATTCTTAACACGTGGAACATATAGTATAAAGATTTTATACTGAATAAATGATATTCATTAAGCCAAAAAAGGAGAAAAAAAGGAATTTACATCAAGTCTTTAGCTACACCATCTGAAATACAAATATGCAGAATCCGTATCACTGAAAAAATAAAATAAAAATTAAATCATACTGGTATCTTCATCATGGTTGAGTTGTTTGTGGAGGAGCTCAAATGAAACCACAGACATGATCATTTTGTTATTTTGCTCTACACCCAAACCAGAGACAAACTGAAACCTGAAGTTTGTTTGGATGTGGGCATCACACAGCAGCTGAGCGCCTCCCCCTCCCCCCCAAAGGAGCACAGAACCGAGCAGGGCAGGGCGATTTAACGGAGAGGGTGGGCGTCACATGGTCAATTATTTGGGAAAATTCATCAAGAGATTAAAAATAGTGAAGAGCAACAGAAGTTTGAGAAAGAGAGAAGTGTAATGTAAAAGGTCATATTTACACTGCAGCTCCTAGCGTCAAGGGCCAGTCCTATAGGTGACTTTTTAATATATGGGTCAAGTCATACAATCAAGGGACAGAGGTCGGGGTGTTGTAGGTTCACCATACTTTAGGGGGAAAGCCATTTTCTCTCTCAACATGAACTAAAACTGTTTTTAAAAACTACAGTTTGCTGCCAAGCCAGCGTATCTCAGTGTGAAACAGTATTATTACAGTATGTTTACAGTTTTTAAGGTGTACAGTACAGAATAAAAGTCCTACAATCTACTGCACAGCACCCCCACCCCCCCTCACACACACACACACACACACACACACACATCTGTTCACAGCCACAGGTCCTGTCAGGCTGAGTATATAGCATCGAAAGTTACAGCAATTATACCATACCACAGTCAATAAGTCTGTCGTCTCCAAACACGAACCAGTATTTAGTCAGGGCTAACCCCTCCCAGGGAAAGAGTGAGCACATATATTCTCCAAACTCACTGAAAATGAGACAGCAACTTTGGTTACAGATTTTTTTTTTTATTAAATTTTTTTGTTAAAAAACAAACAAAAACATGTTCATTCTGTGTCCATCTCCTAGTGCCGATTAGCTTGTCTCTGCCAGGGTCTTTCCTTTTTGTGTGGTTCGAATCCATGACTACTTCATCAGATCCCTTCCTTTAGTCAGAAGCAGGGGGAGAAAGTCTGAGGTGGTTTGCATAAATAAAAAAGGACAGTCAGTTTATACCACTTACACTCAGTCTCACTCACACACACACTCACGGAACATAAAAAAAGATTTAGGGGAAGAGCTGAAAGCTCCTAACGGCTGTCATGACTGGCCAATCAGAAACAGTACATCACAGATTACTTGGGACACCAGATGGTTCATCAGTGGGGACACAGAGATATCTAGTAGTCGCGACTCGTACAAAGTGAACTCTGAGTGGTTTTCCTCCACCTTAGCCAGAGCGTGCAGCGCCCGAGCAGCGCGCCGCATCATGTCCATGCTCGTAGGTTCAAACTGCGGGCTGCCCTGCAGTTGTAGCAAGGAGCTTTGGCTCTGTTGGTACTGAGTGGCCGCTAAGCTATCCTCCAAGAAGCCAAGCAGGTTACCCACGCTGCCTTTCTGCACAGCAACTGCCCGTGCTGCCAGGCTGTCGCCCTGAGCTAAGTTAGCTAATAAGACGACTGCCATTTCCCGACAGACGGCCACTTTGCGCTCCCCGACCAGGCGTACAAGCAAGCCGTACAGCTTCTCCAAGCGGCTGAATGGTGGCGTTGCCAGAATGAGGTCGACATTGTTGTCCTGGATGCTGAGCTTACTGAGGGTCTCAAGGACCAGTCTCTGGGGAGATAGGGAGCTGTGGGGTCCAAGCGTGGGGAAGGGGTCCAACGCCTCTGCTGAGGGGCACACCGCCCAGTGGAGCAGGCCGTCCAGCAGTGGGAGGCATATACTTTCTGGGTAGATAGAAAGGTCCAACTGGCCAGAGATGTTGGCCAGAGTGACTAAGCAGTTCTCCCTCAACACTTCAAGGCAGTCCCACCACCACTCGTCTCTGTCGCAGCTCACACCCTCATCTTCCTCCTCCTCCTTCTCATAGGTAACTGGTGCCTGTTTGCGCTCCGGGTGCCTGTGATGGAGCAGCACCAAATGGCCCAGCAGCAGTAGGAGGCCTGGGTGTTTCGACATCTCCAGGTCATTGCCAGGCACAAAAGACAGACTTCGCACGATGTTGGAGACACAGATACAGCGCCGGGCTAGCGAGTCCTTCCAGTCTGACAGGGTGCTGAGTGGCATTTCATCTTTGCTGTGAGGCTCATCTTCCAAGATCTTGACGTTGCGGCGACTCTGGAGATCAGGGTTGATGCTAAATAGAAACTTGCCATTCTCTTTCTGCTCCTCGGCACCTCCACGGACCACCTCCTCTGTGACTGACCCTGGGCGGGCAGATAATACATCATCAATTGTGGCGGTGACTGGTGCTCCAATGGGAAGAGATGAAGGTGTCTTCTCAGCCAAAGATGGGAAGGCTTCAGAAGGCTGGATCGATGGCTGTTGAGCCTTGTCCTCCCCATAGGACTTAGACTTCTCTGGAATTTCTGTTGCGGCAGCTGGCGCCTTGTTCTTCTTGCGACCTTCAATTGTTGCTGATGTGTGTTTCCACTGCTTGAGGAGATCCATCTGGCTCTCGAAGTGGGTCTGGATGTGCTCAGTAGTGTCACCACCTCCAACACTCCAGTGTATCAGGCCGCTGTTGAAACTCTGTCGTTGCCCCGGTTTGGACAAGCTGTTAGCCAGGAATGGATTCTTCTTCCGCACCATTTTGATTGGGAGTTTATCAAACTTACTAGCCTGTTTGGGCTTTTCCAAGTGGACAGTGGGGTCCTGCAAGGACCCTGAGGTAGAGCTACTCGCTTCCTTGGTAGAGGACTCTTTTTCCTCCTCTTCATCCTCTGAGGACTTGTCTTTCAGGGAGTGTTCCTCCTCCTCTTTTTTCACCTGCACCAGTGAAGAGGTGTCAAGGTTGCTCTTTGTTTCCTCAGTCTCCTCATCTTCCTCGTCCTCCTCATCTGTGCCCATGTCTTCACCCTCAGGAATGGAAATGTCATCTTCAGAGTCTTCAGCAGCATTGGGGTCAATCAGGATGCGTTGGCCAGGGTCTCCCACCTCATACTCCTTTAAGATGCTAAAGATCTCAATGAGGCAGCATCTGAAATACTCCACTATCAGCTCCAGGAAGCCAGGTAGCTGCAAAAACAACAGTAACATTACCAAACTGGTGTGAGGCTCAGCACCAAGTGGCAAAAACTGTCATCAGGCTAACCAAATGTGGCACTCACCTGGCAAAGGTTAAAAGTGGAGATGCTGTTGTCGTCATACAGTAAAATGTTGATGGTGTCCAAGGCCCAGGTGCTCTCAGCCAACAAACCCGACTTTAGAGACATCATTACTCTCCAAGCCTCAGGAGTGCCTTTCAAACCCAAACAGCATGATTGTAAGCCAGAATAAAGACTTTTTGTTTACACACTTAGGTACAAAAGGTGAATTGTCAGAAAGTTGTAGTTTTGAAGAAAACTAGCTTTCCTTGTTTAAAAACAACCAAATTATCCATAACCATTTTTTATGTTTAGATATGTAAAATTTACATAAAAACAGAATGCAAAGATTTGCAAATCTCATAAACCCATTATTTTATTCACAGTTAAAGACAATAAACATATTAAATGTTTAAACTAAAGAGCCGCCCCATTTTGAGGGAAAAATGTAATTTAGAATTTGTATCTGCTACATATTTCAATAAAGTGGGGCCAGAGCTACGTTTCTGACCGTGAAGCACCTGGTTTCCTTTTACCTACTGTCTGTAAACATCCAGGACTTGACAAGCCGCTTTTTTGAAGGAGAATCTTGTCCCATTCTTGTCCGATGTAGCTGTTCAACAGTGCTGGATTTTTTCTGTATTTTTCATTTCTTGATGCACTAACAATTTTCAATTGATGAACAGTCTGGACTATAGACAGGCCAGTTCAGTACTTGAACACTTCTTTTGTGATGTATGCAGTGTGTGATTTAAGGGCCCTGCAGACTTCATCCGAATAGGCAGAATCAGCTCTCATCGACGTATTTGCGTGATGGAAATCGCATCATTTTGTTCTCAGAATAGATTTGCCTGCCCATTCTCAATATAAGGCCCGGACCAAACTTTTTATTACAAGAGTATGCACCAAGTATTGTTATTGGTCAGAAGTTTGTTGGCGTGTTTGTCAATGCAGACGTGCTCTGACATTCAGCTGTACAACTCTTCAAAAGCACTAAATTGGTCAAATAGCCAAAAACTTCTGGATGGAGATCGTGCACACATTGTATATGGAGGAGTCCATATGCTGAAAAGTGTGGCGTTTTCGTCACCATAGATTTGTGGCCAAATGGTGGCTGCATGGACAGAGTGGAGACTCTGGTGGGAAGAAACCCTGTGGTGACATTTACTGCAGTGGGAGGGGGTTTCCCCAAGACCTCTGTGCAGTGTGTCTCATGGACTATGAAAGGTGAGCAAACGAACGTCCTGCAACCATGTGACCGCACGTCGCTTGTTCTGCTTCGGATGGAGTATGCTGGGCCCCTTTAGTGCTATCTTGCTGACATATGCTGTTCTAAAACCTGTTTATACTTTTCTTCATTGATAGTGTCTTTCCAGATGTGTATGCCATCCATGTCAGAGTTACTAATGCATCTCCATACCACCAGGTTTTTACGATCTCTGATAACAGGCCGAATAGTCTCTCTTCTTTGGACATGGCATTCATGGTTTCTAAAACAAATTTAAGCTTGGACCAGGACTTGTAGATGGCACAGTGAACTGTGTATACAGACGAGGATCCGTGACTTTCAGCCTGGTCCATTGAGCTTAGAGATTTCTACAGATTCTTCTAACCTGTTTATGAGATTTGAGTTTTTCACAGACTGGCAAACCTCTGCCCATTTCTACCTCTGAAAGATTCAGCCTCTAAATCTAAAACACTCTTCTTATATATTACAACTTTTTGTTGCCACTGTTCCAATTTCTTTGACTTTCAATTTCTTTCTTTCGTTGCTGCCATCAAATTAAAATGACCATATTGTTCCCTAAAATGGTCAGTGTTTCTAGTTTAAACAAGATAGTTTAAGATAATTTTCCTACATTTTATTATGAATAAAATGTGCGTTTATGAGGTTTACAAATCATTGCATACTGTTTTAATTTACCTTTTGGAAAACACCCCAATTTTGTCAATTTGAGTGTGTAATTAGAGGTATAAATATTTTAAGTGCAGAGTTGGGAGTATCAAACTGGTCTAATGTAAGTTTTATTTTTCCTTAAACTCAATGGGCCAAAGATGAAAGAGTGGTTCTTACCAATGTCTTTCATGGTGAGCCGTTTTCGGGGTTTAAGATGGGGTTGGGTAGCCTCCACAGAGCTGGGAGGGAAGGCCACATCTCTTCGAATCAAGGGTTGCTGCACAGGCGCCTGCCCAATATGTGAGGCGGGAACCGGAGGACCTGCCTTCTGCACTTTAACGCCAGGATGCATGTAGGGTGATTTACTGGGTGATGTCCTGCTTTCCATGGGCCGGGACATGGGAGCTGGGCTCAGCACCTGTGGAATGTGGTTCTGGGAAGTCTGGAAAGTGGAGGGTAAAGGTCTGGTCATAGGTGGTCCAGTACCAGTGGGGCCAAATGGTGGCTGCCGTTGGTTGATGTGGCTGGGCCACTGACCCTCATGGTTCATTCGTTGGTCTGATGGCATCATCTCCTCCGAGCGGTTCATGTTGTGATACCCAGGACCCTGGCCTGGTACGGGAGGTCCCTGTCTGTTGGGATAGTTGGGAAAGCCCATCTCATTGCGACCCTGCCACACTGGACCTTGGGGGCCATCTGGACCTGAAGGCATGGAGCTGCCCATCATCTGGGAAGGCATGTGAGACTGGGAGTTTGCACCTGTTGATGAAGGCCCTCGGTCCCGTCCGAATGGGAATGGGAACTGGTTCTGTGAACCTGGTGGTCTCCTATCTCCACCTGGATATGCATTATACTGGTTATACATGTCCTGCTGACCAGGGTGCCCAGAGGGTTGGGGTCCAGGCTGCTGCTGACTACCATAAGGAACGTTATACATTTCTCCCTCATGGCGCTTGGCTGGAGGACCATACCCTCCATCCACAGGACGCTTGTAATTCTGTCAACAGAAAACAATCAGCATTATCATCAGTCTCTTCAAGTTAGCTACTTTGTACACAATAATTTGAATAAAAACTATTCTTCTTCTGGCTTTTCCCTCTTCAGGGGTCACCACAGCGAGTCATCCTCCTCCATCTCACTCTGTCCTCTGCATCCTCTGTCTTCACTCCAACTACCTTCAAGTCCTCCCTAACTGCATCCATATATCTCCTCTTTGGCCTTCCTCTTTGTCTTTTTCCTGGCAGCTGCATTTCTAACATCTTTCTACCAATACACCCACTGTCCCTCCTCTGGAGAAGTCCAAACCATCTCAGTCTGGCCTCTCTAACTTTATCTGCCAGTTGTTCAAGCTGTGCTGTACCTCTGATGATCTCATTCCTAATTTTATCCATCCTTGTCACTCCTTAGGAGAATCTCAACATCTTTATTTCCACCACTTCCAGCTCTTAACTCCTGTCTTTTTGTCCATGTCTCTGTCTCCAGACTACACAAAATAGCTGGTCTCACCACTGTCTTGTAAACTTTTCCTTTGACCTTTGGTTTGATTTGTTGCAAATAACTCCTGAAACTTTTCTCCATCCACTCCATCCTGCCTGGACTCTCTTTTTCACTTCTTTACCACATTCCCCATTTTCCTGGACAGTGGACCCCAAGTACTTGAAGTCCTGCACCTTTGTGACCTCTGCTCCTTGTAGCCTCACTGTTCCATCAGCCTCCCTTTCATTCACACACATGTACTCTGTCTTACTACGACTGACTTTCATTCCTCTTCTTTCAAGTCCATACCTCCACCTCTCCAAGTTCTCTTCCACCTGTTCCCTGTTCTCACCACAGATCACAATGTCATCTGCAAACATCATCGTCCATGGGGATTCCTGCCTGACCTCATCTGTTGATCGGTCCATCACCAGCGCAAACAAGAAGGGGCTCAGAGCTGATCCTTGATGAAATCCCACTTCTGCCTTGAAACAATTGGCCATCCCTACAACACATCTCACCACTGTCCTGCTGTCCTCATACATGTCCTGTACCAGTCTAACATACTTCTCTGCCACACCAGATTTCCTCATGCAATACCACACCTCTTCCCTCGGCACCCTGCCATATGCTTTTTCTAAATCCACAAAGACACAATGGAATTCTTTCTGACCCCCTCTGTACTTCTCCATCAGCATCCTCAAAGCAAAGATGGCATCTGTGGTTCTCTTTCTTGGCATGAAACCATACTGCTGCTCACAGATAGTCACCTCTCGTCTAAGTTTTGCTTCCACAACTCTCTCTCAGATCTTCATCGTGTGGCTCATCAACTTAATTCCCCTGTAGTTGATACAACTCTGTACATCACCCTTGTTCTTAAAAATGGGCACTAGTATATTTCTTCTCCATTCTTCAGGCATTTTCTCACCTTCAAATATGCCATTGAATATTTGAGTCAAAAACCTCACTGCCATCTCTCCCAAGACATTTCCAAACCTCTACTGGGCTTCATTCTTTTGAGAGCTTTCCGGACTTCACCCTCACTAATCGTTCACACTTCCTGGTCCACAGTTTCTATGACCTCTACTCTTCTTTCTCTTTCATTCTCTTCATTCATTAGCTCCTCAAAGTACTCCTTCCATCTTCCCGTCACACTCTCATCACTTGTTAGAACATTACCATTCCTATCTTTAACAAGACTAACCTGCTGCACATCCTTTCCAGCCTGATCCCTCTGACTCGCCAATCGATACAAGTCCTTCTCACCCTCTATAGTGTCCAGTCTCCCAAACAACTCATCATACACCTTCCACTTTGCCTTTGCTACCTCCCAATTTGCTCTACGTCCGATCTTCTATATTCCTGTCTCCTCTCTTCAGTCCGCTTAGTACAAAACGGATTCCAAAAAAGTTGGGACACTAAACAAATTGTGAATAAAAACTGAATGCAATGATGTGGAGATAGCAAATGTCAATATTTTATTCGTAAAATAACATAGATGACAGATCAAAAGTTTAATCTGAGTAAATGTAACATTTTAAAGAAAAAATGTTGATTCAAAATTTCACAGCGTCAACAAATCCCAAAAAAGTTGGGACAAGTAGCAATAAGTGGCTGGAAAAAGGAAATTGAGCATATAACAAACAGCTGGAAGACCAATTAACACTAATTAGGTCAATTGACAACATGATTGGGTATAAAAAGAGCTTCTCAGCGTGTCAGTGTCTCTCAGAAGCCAAGATGGTAAGAGGATCACCAATTCCACCATTGTTGCGCAGAAAGATAGTGCAACAATACCAAAATGGTGTTACCCAGCATAAAAGTATTGTTAATAATAATAATAATGAATTTAATTTGTAACGCACTTTTCATTAACAAAAATCTCAATGTGCTACAGAGTGCAACTAAAATCAATGATAAAATCAACTAAAATCTGTGATAAAATCAACTAAAATCAATGATAAAATCAACTAAAATCAATGATAAAATCAACTAAAATCAATGATAAAATCAGCTAAAATCAATGATACAATCATGTGGAGGCAGAAAAGGCTTGCTTAAAAAGAAAAGTCTTTAAGCCTTTTTTAAAGTCAGTCAATGATTGTGGAGCTCTCAGATAGTCAGGGAGGGAGTTCCAGAGGTGGGGGGCAGCCACACAGAATGCTCGATCTCCCATGGTTCTTAATTTAGTTCGTGGAAGGTGGAGGAGATTACTGTTCTGTGATCGTAGGGACCGGGTGGATGAATATGGAGCAAGAAGGTCCTTCAGATAATCTGGTGAATTTCCGTATAAACACTGATGGTGATGAGAGCAATTTTGTACTGAATTCTGTAAGTGACAGGAAGCCAATGGAGGTTATGGAGAATGGGTGTAATATGTTCAAATTTACGAGCTCTCAATAAAATCCTGGCTGCATTGTTTTGAATATATTGAAGCTTCTTAAGGTTTTTGCCGGGTATTCCAGTAAACAGGGAGTTGCAGTAGTCGAGCCTGGAGGAGACAAAAAGCATGGACGAGTTTCTCTGCATCAGCAAAAGTGAGAGATGGGCGCAGTTTGGAGATATTTCGGAGATGGAAGAAACAGGTTTTAAACAGATGCTTAATGTGATTTTCAAATGTAAGATGAGAGTCCATTTTTATTCCAAGATTTGTAACAGAGGTGGAGAGGGGGATGTCTTGTCCAGAAAATGAAATAGTCGTTATAGTTGAAGTTTGAACCTGGTGAGGGGTGCCAATCAGTATGGCCTCAGTTTTGGAGCAGTTTAACTGAAGAAAGTTCTGATTCATCCATGCCCTTATTTCCTCCAGGCAGGTAGAGAGGGCAGTGAGTGAAGATGGAGATGACAGTGGTGAAGATGATGCTCCGGTCCTGATGTAAAGCTGTGTATCGTCGGCATAACAGTGAAAAGAAATGTTGTACTGATTAATAATTTGACCTAAAGGCAGCATGTAAAGGGAAAATAGCAGGGGCCCTAAAACTGACCCTTGAGGGACACCACAGGAGACACAGACAGCCTGGGACTTGGCATTGCCAAGACTAACACATTCCAGCCTATTGGAGAGGAAAGATTTAAACCAGTCCAGGACAATGTCACAGAGACCGACCTCCACATGAAGAGTGAGGTCAAGGAGAACAAGGAGGGAGGGAGAACCAGTGTTAGTAGCCATGAGGACATCATTGGTGACTCTCAGCAGTGTGTTCTCAGTATTGTGAGCTGCACGGAAGCCAGACTGAAACTTCTCATACAGGGAGTGTTGTTGTAGGTGGATCTGCAGCTGAACAGCAACTGCTTTTTCCAGCACTTTTGACAGAAATGGGAGGTGAGAAATTGGGCGGTAATTAGAAAGAATGTCTGGATCCAAATTAGATTTTTTTCAGAAGAGGCCTAATGATGGCAGTTTTAAGAGGCAGTGGAACTTGACCAGATTGCAGTGACTTATTTATTATTTGTGTGATTAATGGGCTTATTGCAGAGTGATTGGATTTAATGAGAGACGAGGGGAAGGGATCCAGGGCGCAGGATGAAGGCTTCATTTTTTTGATGATGGTCTCCACTTCACTCTCAACAACCTCATCAAAGCAGCTCAGGGACCCAGAATGCAGACGGGTAGATGGCAGATGAAGATCAGGGAGGCTATGGAGCTGAGATCTAATGAAGTTAACTTTGTTTTTAAAAAAGGAAAGGAACAGGTTGCATTTTTGAACAGAGTCCTCATGAGACTGTTTAATGGGATTAAGGAGATGATTTATTGTGGAGAAGAGTTGTTTAGAGTTTCCAGGGCAGTTGTTGATGATGTTAGAATAATATTTGGACCGTGCTTCTTTAAGAGAAAAGGCGTAGGCTTTCTGATGTTCTTTAGATGCCTGCTGATGTACAGAGAGACCAGATGATTTTACACGTCTCTCAATAGCACGGCCAGCTGCTTTCATCTTGCGCAGCTCAGCAGTGTACCAAGGGGCTGAACGGGAGAAAGACACCAGCCTTGCTTTAAAGGGAGCATGGAGGTCCAGAAGCTCCTGGAGAGATTGGTTGTAGTAATCCACAGAGTCATTTGCAGATGAGTGATTGACAGCGGTCATGGAGTGGAGATCAGAGGACAGAACCTCAGGGGAAATGTTTTTAAAGTCACGGAACTGGATAAGTCGTTTAGGATTAGGAGTAGACGAAGATGAAGGCACTTCCAGGGAGATGACACTGTGGTCTGAGACACCCAGGTCATATACAGATAAGTTATTGATAGGTACAGTGTCTGTAATCACCAAATCCAGAGTGTGCCCCCTGTTGTGCATAGGGGCGTCAACATACTGAGTGAGATTGAGAGAGTCCAAAAGAGACTTAAACTCTGCTGCCAGAGGGAAAGAGGAATTATCAATGTGGATATTTAAATCTCCAAGAATAATGTTTTTCACAGTAGATGCGCAGAAAAAAGTGAGAAGGTCATGCATCTCTGAGTTAAATGAAACATGTGGTTTGGGAGGCCGATAAATCAATATAACATTCATCAGGAGGGGGGCTTTG